ACTGTCCACCCTTACTTGAAGGTTCCAAGCCACCCTGCGCATAATGCTTTAATCACTGTGCTGAGTCTATGTACAAAATTCTTATTTTAGCTCATTTAGCTTATTTCAAAGTTACCTAACCCTTTTTAACTTATTTCTCAGCCCTTTTAATCTATTTATGTCAGCTTTTTTTAAATTCATAATTCACCCTTTTGTTGAAGCTAATATGGTCGCTGAATTTGGCTCGCATCCAAATAAAGGTAGAGTTTTACTTCAATTTTTATGTTGGACGACCCGATTTCTTATAAATAAAGACTGATTACACTATTATAAATTTCGTTATTGTATTTTTTTTTCAGGAAAGTTAGTCATTTGACCTATTTGTAGACTGTAGTAAAACTTCTGTTCTGCGTTATTACTCTCTCGTAATATATTCAAATAGAGTCGGGACCATTTTCTTCAGCTTGTCTTTTAAGAAATACGAGAACATTGGTTTCTCATTTGCTTCCTAAATATTCAAATTAGTTTTCGCCGCTTGATGTCTCTTTCATCAGTCGCCGATCAGAAAACCCAACACGCCCAAAAAATAAATAAATTAAAATAAAACTCACTGGCACTTTTTGTTCGAAATCTTCCATCTCTTCTGAATCGCCAGCTAGTGTTTCCTTAGGAGTTTATTCCTTTTGTATTGTTTAATAAATCACGTGTTTCTCATGGTTGACCGAAGATTTTGCTCTCCATTTTGCAAGGTGATGAATAAAATGCATGACTTTCCTCTTTACTTAAAGGTCCAGGAAGGTTATCTGGTATTTTACGGATATTTTATTCACTTTTCATGCACACCTTGTTCCTAATTCCCCCTTTTTTCGGACACGCATTAAATTCTAAAGTATGTAAAATGTCTATTAGTACCAATATCTTATTCTGGAGTAAGCCTTTCTAGAACAAATATAGATTTATAAATTTCTTACACTTTCAAATTATTAAAATGAATAATTTTGTTGAAGTGGATTTTAGAGGGTGATCCAATTTTAATGAGTAATAATAAAAGTCATAATATAGCTAAATTATAATGTTAGTCCATGTCATAGCAACATATAAAACTTTATTTTGTATTTTTCTTTAGAAATTTTTTTTTAAAAAAATCATATAATGACACAAAATTGTAAATCTGTCATAATGCATTTAAATATATGAATTATAGCAGCTGAAAAAAATGAAGTAACGCTTTAAATAGTGCATAATAATTTAATAGTTATAATTTCACTCGTTAACGTACATGCTTCCAGAAAGTGTCACCTTTTTTTTTTCTTTCTGTTGCTGCTACTGCAGATGAAGATTTTTAAAACGTGGAAAATAATTTTGATGCAACGCCAATGAGCTTCTTTTTAGTATGATTTTTTAAAAGCCAATTAAAATTACAAAAAGGAAGATAATGAGACTTTTATTGTGTTAATTATATTTTAACAAGGTAATTTTATGAATACAATTCTTGAAATAATTTCTTTTCTTAAAAAAATAATAATAATTCGATGTTGTCTTTAAGTAAACTTTTATAGATTTCACTTAATATTTAACTGAGGTTCGAACCCTGGTGGCGGAACAGCTTTAGAACGATGGGTATCAGCTTGTCTGGAAAGTAAAGGCGGCCGGTGCCCAATGTTGACTACTTTGCCATGCCGTTGGTCACGAAATTGTAGAACCTTAACCCCCATTACCCTCTCCCCCCGGCCTAAAATAGGCTGTTGCGGGATCGCTCTACTCTACTCTGATCTCTAATACTTAATATTTAATTCCGGATGTCAAAGAAAACAGAAACTTTTACAATTTTTGTTTTATTTTTCGTCTAGACTCGACGCGTTGCTAATTTTAGAATCATTGCGTTGACATGAAACTAGTTAAGAAAAATAGTTTACCTTGAGATTTATTTTCTGCTCAATTTTTCGAAATTTATTCCTATGAAGTTTTTATTTGAACTCTTATATATTTGTTTTTATATGGCATAATACTTCATACATTTCATATCACTAGCTCTCCATTTTATTATCGAAATATTTTTATAGGAGTCTACTTATGGATTTTTCAGTTGTATCAACATAGACTGTGGATGTAATTTCACATTTTAAAAAAAATACATCGCTTAATGAGGCTCTTTGCTCTTTCTATAATCATACCATCGTAAACCAAAATTAAACCCATTGTTTCAGCTCAATGTTACCTCTACTATATGATCATCTCATCTTTTTCAATGCATCTTCGCGACTTAATGACGATTTATGACAGATTTGTCCTGTTTTATAACAGTATATTTCAATAAATTTCTTCTCGTTAAGTTTTTATTACTTCATTTTTTACCGTGTGAAATTACTTATGATAGTGAACAATTAACTTATAGAAGTGTATTTTCCTTTTTTAAAAAAGAAAAAAAAATTAATAATAGAAAAAAGAAAATATTGCATATTATTTATATTTGAATTCTACCCTACTGTTTTCGAATACATTTTAAGTTTTCTTTTTAGAATCGTGTTTGTGAAAAATAATCATTCTTGTTATTCAAGGCTCGTAATTGCCCTGATTTTCTTGAGGGAAGGAAGAAAGAAAATTTTTTTATTTGTTCTGATAGTCCTGATTTTTGTGTGTTGACCATCTCGTTTTTTTACTTTCACAAATACTACTTATTCAGATTTTAAAATAGGGGATTTGAAGAATCAAAAGTTCTGGATTTACGATTCAACATCTTTTTATTTTAATAATGCTAGTTAAAATCGCAAAATTCAATAATTCAAGCTTACAAGGCATCCAATTGGTTCGTTCCCCCCCCCTCCCTCTCCTTTTTAGTTTTAGGCTTCTTTGCTTTATTCCTTCTTTTGAATGATTTGAAAATTATTTCAAGAAAGTGTTTCGATTATGTTTGAATTGTGATGCATGCAAAGGTTTACACCCCAACCTCTCCCCCATCATTCTCACCCCCCAAAAAAAGACTGAAGAAAGTTTTTGCTATTAAGTACTTGGTAGAGGCAAAAAGCATTAAATGGTGCACAAGTTGATCCTCCTTTACATTTTTTTTTCTATGTCCATTACCATGCAATTACACATGAATTCAATTCACTCAATGTTTCTTTCGTGAATATTCATATTTTTGACAATTGCAGATTAGTTTTGGTTTTGAAATATTTTCACCTAAAGAGCAGTTTCATAAAGGGGAAGAATAACTTACTAAGTTAGGAAACTTATTGTAAAATTTCTTAACTCTTTAGTAGGATCCTGTAATCTAAATTAATTTTGTATAAAGCTGATTTTTTAATATTGACTAAATAAATCATAGTTAGTAGTAGTACCTGTATATAAATGGTTCTAACTATAAATGGGTCTCTACAGTCCTCTTTTAACCACAACTTGTACAATTTTTTCCCCCTCTTTCTTCATCTAAAATATGTAGGGACCCCTCAGCTTAGGGACCGATCACTAATAAATTATACACGTTTCAGACATATGGCATTACCCACTGGATTTATTATTTTAAACTTTTTGGGAATTCAGTCGTTTTAGGATAAAATTATTCAATTAGCAATTTTATTTTATCAAATTTTTGTGATGAATTTAAGGGTTGTTACTCTCAGCAAATACAGTGATAAATCTTGTAGGTTTTTTTTTTCTTTTTCTTTTCGTTGATATTTTTATTGTTATTCTCTTTTATCTTATTTTAAAAATGATCGATTCTTATCAGCAATACAGAAATTGCATTTATTAGAATTTTTAAATAGTTAATTGAGAGATCATCCACTAAATTTCTTTTCTCCAAAAATTTTAAACTGCATGTTTTTGTTTTCAGATACAAATGAAGTATAAAATTATTTCATAAAGGAAGGTTGAAGTTGATTACTAATTTTAATTAAATATTGGTATGATGGAATATCAATTGAAACAATATTACAAAAATTTTCAGGCTTCACTATTATGAGTTGTTAGTTGTTCTATTTTAATAAAATCATTTTGGAAACTGTTGATAAATAAAGTAATTCGGAAATTAAAAATACAATTTTTTAAAATTTTTTTTTGTTCTTTTGCAATTGTGTTTGCCTTACCTAAATAGAGCAAAACTTCTTTTTTTTTTATGTTTACCTTCTTTAAAAGTTATCTGGTATAAGTATTCTGCTATTCCAAAAAATATCCTAATTTTTTTTAAAAATATGTTGTTTTTTAGGCTACGATTATAACACTTTTAATGTAAATTTTTAAAATTCTAGTAGAACATTAATTAATTAAAACCTGTGCATTTGCAATTGCAAACTACTGGTTAAATAAGGAAAAGAGAATATTATCAAATTTTATGAGTCATCAACTTTAATTATAGCTCATAGTCATTTGAGGTCCTCATAAAGCCAGTTTCTATTGGAAAAAGTACGCATTTCAGCAGCATCTGACAAATAAACTTGTTTTTCATAATTTTGATCCCTCACAACCGCTTTGATTACAATTTATAAAAATTATTGGATTTTGAAAACTTACTAATATCATCATATATAATAGGCAGTAATTGCAGAACACCTTGCAGGATCACTGATGCTATTTATATCTCAATTAAGACTATGTTGCTACCAACATGGCATAAAATTTGTTTATAAAGGACTACATATAAGTTTAGTTGCCATTTGTCGGCAATTTTTCAACTGTAGTTTCCAAAAATTAACAAAAATTAAGTAATTACAATTTCAAATTATCAGACCATTTGTACATTTTTCAGCGATATTTAATTCGAGAAACTGATATTTACCACTCTGTTTCTTATTTTTTACATATATATTAGCCAACATAAGTGAACAATCACTATTTGATTGAGTGGGAAAATTTTTAAGGACAGTTGTATGGTGTATGATTGTTCAATGATTGCCAAATTTGTTGTTCTTTTACTTTACTAAAAGCTTTAGTTTGAAACAAAAAATTTTTTAATGAAGTAATTCTAAAATAAATACTGTTTGTTGAAAGTATTTTGTATTCATATATGTATATATTTTTTTTAGGTGCTGTGCACAATATGGGGGATAGTAATCAATCCAGTCAAAATAATTCCTGTTTTGATTCTGACTGGAACTCTAATCAATTCCTGTCATCTGATGTGAAGATGACTGACCAAAAATCCTTAGATAGTTCCTTATTTGAAAGAATTTCAAATTTTAGAGATAATGTCAATAAGGATTATTCCAGGTAAAAGAATATTTAAAACTTGTATTTCTCTTGTCTTTGTATGAAATTGCTTTGGTTAGCTTTTATGTTATTTTAGTAGAACCTTAATTAGCAGGGATTAATTTAAATTTTTTTTGGGTTGGAGAGGCATTTAATAACCATGAAAAATATAAGAAATGTAGGGTAAAATAATAATGTCAGACACATCTAAGGTTTTCAGCACCTTGGAAAAAGTTGTGTTTTTTATCCCTTTATTGTATGGCATTAAAAGTAACATTACTATTTTTCACCCTATGTACAAACTCTTGTATCACTAAATTCTACATTCAACCAACTAATATAAATTTACTTTATTTTACTATTTAGTAGTTTTGATACTAAACAAAAAATATTTGTATTTTGAATCAACATTTTCAACAATAGAAAAAAGTTTAGAAATTTTATGAAGTATTTTCAAAATTTAATGTATGATTCACCTATAACTGCAAAAATAAAAGTAAACAGCTTTTGATTTAACCATCCTTTAAAATCTTTTTATTTATGTATAATTTAAATTTTAAAATTTTAATTATTAATAAAATTTAAACTGATGTGAAGCATGGGCTGGTTTTGTATACCACTAGTACAAGTGGAATAGAACAGTTTGCTTTATATGCTAAGTGCTGTATAGAAAAGTTTTAAAAGCATAAACTTAAAAATTGTGTATAACTGCTATATAATTGAACGAATGGACAAGTCAAATAAAAAGAAAATTTGTAAGTGACTAAACAGTGAAGTAAAATAATATTGCATGAAATAGAATGCAGTTAAATTTTAATGATAAGATTGTTTTCTTATACATTTGTAACCTAAACATAATTTTATATGCATAAAAATATTTTAACAAACAGAAATTTTAATTCTCTTTCTAAAAAATAAATTGAACATAAAAATTAAAATCAGTTCTCCTTTGTTTAAAGTGTGAAGAGAAATTAACAGATATTCATAAAATATAATTTATGTATTTTTTTACTCTTTACCATAAGCTGGTTTGCATTATTTAAGCTAGAATGCATTCATTGGTGTTACAAGAACGTTTTCATAGTGTGTGTGTGTGTGCACATGCGATTCAGTATCCAATCCATTGATGGTGAATAAAATTCTTTTTACTAATTTTCATTATTTCTAACTTATTTTGGTCAACATTCAGCATACTTTGATGGTAGAGTTCTAACTGATAAGTAATGATAACAAAATATTCCTTAATATCCATGCAGATTGTTCGAATTTTATCCATGCAGAATATTCACATTTTCTAGTTCGAGTTAAAAATATTTCAGACATGTAACAAAGTGACTGGGAATAGTAACATTCACCAATGAATGGTGACAATCATTAAATTTTGACTTGTACAGTAACATATCCATGGCATTCTACTGTAGCTAATCTATGTTGGAAGAAAATGACTTGTATCATTAATATAGCTTCTTTATTGTATTGTGCTCTTGATGACCCAGGTCATGACACAACTTACTCTGATGTGTTGTGCAGCCAGATTAAAAGAAATGGCAAGGGTATATTATGTACGTTATTATTTAAAACACTGAAAAGAATTGTACAATGCAGGTACTTAAAAAAAAAAGAAAAAGAGTACCTCAAAAATATCTTTAAAGTATTTATAATATTATTAGTAGAAAGCAAATGTGAAAATGTCAGTTAGTTAATCCGAAGCAGCAGGTCCTTATTTCTAGAAGAAGGAAATCTAAAATATTTTGTATTTATCTCATTATATCAATTAAAATTTTTTAACATAAAAAAATTTAGTAGAAACAAACCACCTACCCACAGGACTTTTTTAAAGACAAAATAAAAAAAATTCATAAAAAAATCATAAATTTGTGAAATAGTATGTATCAGTAATAGAAAATACATTAATGATAAATTTTTGATCAAAATTGTGTAGTATTCCCAGACTAGGTTTCGAATTGGGCATGAATTTTGTAGTCTCTTGATATGATTAAAAGTTACGTCAAAATAAACTCACTTTTCTTCTTTATCAGTGCTGTAATCAATGTTTCATAAGTGTCAAAACTTGTTTAATGTTTAACCTACTCATAAGGTTTTGTAATTCACTTGTATTTCGTTATCATTATTTTTTAAATTTTTTATTTAAGATTTTTTTCCCTGACTTTTTTTAGCTTACAAATTTGCGATGTATATAATTAAGTCTTGAATTTAAAATTTTTTAATGTTTCAGAAAATCACCTACTTCACCCGCAGGATCCCCCACTACAATGTATGGAGCATCATTGCATCAAAAAGACCTTAGCTATGATGATTTGTCAAAAAATATAGATGCCAACCTTGCAGAAATTGACATGGAAACATTCCGATCTGAGGACATAAACTCCATATTGGCTCTACCTGCTATTTATAGTGGGGATTTTCAATCTGAAAGTCGTGGTGAGCAGTGTGCTTCTGTATCTGGGTCTTTACTTAATGGTCTGGAGTTAGATACTTCAACAAGGTTTGTACTAGTTTTCATGAATTAATAATTCATACCTGAAAATTGTGTGTAATTGGGTATTAATTGTGTATATAAAAGCTTAACGATATTAACTCTGTAAAGTACATAAGTATTATTCAGCTCCAGGTTACAATAATCATTTTGTTTCTCTAATTCCGGTACAAAATATAAAGATTTTTTACTTAGCTTTTTTTATGAGTATAAAAGTCTGTATGTTGACTCAAAAAGATCAAAATATTGTATGTTTTTAAATATCTTGTATATGAATAAATAAACAAAGATTCTCTTTTATACTTCTTTGAGGAATTTTAAATGTTTATATAAAAATGTATTACAAAGAATATTGGCTATTTCATGTGCAGGCATGAAATTCAGAAAATCCTATGCTTGTTACTCTTTATTATGTAACTTTCTGTGATAAGTATTCAGTATTGTTTTCTCTAATACATTTACTGTTTTTTTTGCGTGATTAGTTGGCACCTTGTTAATATCATATAATTAATTTGCGTAAAACTGTTAAAAGAATTTTTTTTTTCTTTTGCAAGTACATAGTAAATTTTTTGAAGTCTCTTTTAAAATATAAAGTACAATAGAAATCTGCTAATCCCAGAATAATTCCGATCATTGTCTCTTAAGGTTTCAATCCAAATACAAATTTCTGTTCATTTGTGTTTGATCGATATGCACAACCATGTATAATTTTTCAATCAGATGATTTTGTGTTCCAACAAATGGATGCTTATTTGCAGAATCTTCTATTGATGCATTTGGATTTTTTTTTGTTTGTATGCCATTATACTCTACTTTTAGTCATGGAATTGGTAATTTATAAAATAACATCTGCTCCGTAGTTTTTATGATGCTTTGTCTTTCGTATTCTCACATTTGAACAATAACTTTTGCAGTGTTGTAATCCAATGCAAATTTGGCTTATTCTTCCAATCAAGATACATCAGGCTTTTTATAACCGCAAGTATAAAATTGTTCATTTGAACAACTGTCCTTTAAGCTGTATTTTTAATGACTTTATGTGTATTTAATGTACTGTTAAATCACAAAGCTAAATTATCTTCTCTTAACTCAAATCAATATTTTGTCTTTCAATTGCATTAGCCAATTGATTGGATTTTAAAAGTTTTTAGCAAGGTATTTTAATTACAAACGGAAATTGCAGATTAGGGGTTTCAACTGTTGTAAAATTTTGCTCCTCATGTAATCTTTTATACTTTTTATGCCTTTAAGGTTGAGTGTATATTTTAAATAAACTCTTTAATGTGTTTTCACTCATATAATTTTATATTGCAGCAATCGTCATTCCGAGGATGAAATATCCATATGCAAAGATGAACCTTTATTTTCTCCATTAAGAGAACCACCAGTTCCTGAAGCAACGATATCAGTAGATAGTCTTGATAACAGTTCTAGCTATGAACAAGACTTAGTACTCACTTGTAAAGCAAATAAAAATAATTATACTATAGTTTTTGAAGGCAGTAGTACACAGTTTTCTGATGATTCTGATTACCAAGATGTCTGTCGAAGTAGTGAAGGAGAAAGTAGTATGTCTGGTGCCGTTCATATTAATTGCGGCTCTTATCGAAAGCAAAGTTCTATGGTGCAATCAGATGTGGCCTTCACAACCTGGAGCAAGCTCTGGAAAAGTCATAGAATAAGTCGAAGAAAAAGTGATACATCAAATACAAAAATATCAATCAAAAGCCAAAGTTTGCCTAATCTAAGTCATAACTCTGTTTTTATAACTGACAAGCAGCTTAACCAGTGGGCCAAGTGGTGTGGCAACCATAGGCTGCCACTATATGAATTAGTACAAAATTACCAGGCTGCTGGAATGCATGTAGGTAATAGTAAAGAGTGCTTACACTCTGTGTCTCTGCTGAAATTATTTATGAAGCACAAAGTGTCGAGTAACTCTTCCATAGGATCCAGTGGCCAGTCAGACTCCTCTACGTCTTTGATACTTCAGCCTCTAAATTTTCGAAATGCTAGTCTACAGAATTCCCTAAACATATCTGAAAAGGTCAAACCACTTCAAAGGAATACTGATGATCTTTCGCAAAACCACAAGGATAAGAATCGACCTAAGAACCAAAATGACAATGATACACGTCAGGCACAGATGATTGTTGACAATATTCAAATTTTGGACTGGAATTCTGTACAGAACATGACCGAGACTAATAACAACAATATCAATTCCCTATATAACACAGATAATGTGCCGAATAATAACAATATAGAAGAACTGAGAGGTAATGAAGAGTGTGATAACTCTCAGTACTTTGAAGATAGTTTGATGGATGCTCCCTCCCCTCCACTTAAACATTTTCATACAACTCCAATTAAAGAAGAAGAAGAAACTGATATTTCTAGTGGAGATGAAGTCATGAGAGATAGCAAGAATCCATTCGGTAGTGATGATAGCTCATCTGGAGAAATCACTGTTATACAAAACAACAACCTTGATCATGCATCTTCAACCAATAGGCAAGAAAATGGAGCTCATTTAGAACGAATCAATAATATATTTCCAACATGTAAATCAAATATTGATATATTAAACAAAGGTTATCATGTTCTTAATAAAGAAGATGCGAGTGCTAAGAGAAATGGAATTCCTACTGAAAGCCATAGTACGCAAACGAAACAATTCAATATTAATGATTGCTCTGGACCAGATGGTTTTAAGCCATTGCAAGCTTTCAGCTGTAAAACCAGCAGTAATCAAACAGACTGTGATACAACAACTACTGTTCAGTATACTACTTCAAGGGATTCAAGTCCTGCATCTAGTGGATATGTTAGTAGTCGACATAGCTCTGTGGAAAGGATACGCCCTCCTTCTTTGATAAGTGCCACTCACAATGTAACTACTCCAGTGAGTCCAATTCAGAAGAGCAATGTTATTCTAACTACTATATGTACTTGTGGGACTCAAATTCCTGTTCATGTGAAGGATTCATGTGTGCAAACATCAACTTTGGCTGTTTCCAATTCAAACTCTGGATTCACTTTCAAGGAATCAACAACAAATCTTCCAGAACCCAATCAACATTCCCAAACATCAGTCAAGTCTCCAGTGAATAATGTTGAGTCTCAATTTGGAAAACAAAAGGCAAAAGATAAAAAATCTGTTTATGTCTGTTATCCGAATTACTCTTTACCAGATTTAAGCTTCTTGAAGTCTGTTATTGAAGAAAATTCAGAATCAGTATTTCTTACTCCAACAGAATACAAGTTGCCGCAGGAAATATTAAACCAGAGAAGACCTTCAAGACCTAGATCATATGGAGCATATGAAAATTTGTTGCAGAAGCATCTAACAAAAATAAAGGACTGGGAATCTTTGAATGTGTTATTGCCCGATGACTTAAAAATCCTTATTTCTAAACAGCGTCCCAAAGGCATGAAATCGGATAGTTCATCATTTACTGATGCTTTGAATTCAAAAGAGGCCCTGCAGTTTTTATCCTCTTCTTATTGTAATATTGACGATGCATCCAAGTTGAAAATAGGAGGTAGTGAATCTGCTAATAAACAGCATGTACCAAGAAGTATATTACGCAAGTCAAATTCTGTTGAACAGTGCGAAGATAAACAATGTCATGCTCATTTACCAATTCGATGTACCAGTGCATCGTCTTTTATTTGTGGAAAAGATGGAGGAAAATCATTACCCAGTGATTTAGTACATTATAAACAAGATTTCTATGGAGGTTCGCCGCAGAACATCCCTACTAGCAATGTTAAATTTTCTGATTATTTTAATAATCAAAAGGTTGATGCTAGTGGAAAAAAGTACCAAGTTGTACAAAATTCTGATAAAAAATGTAGTCCTTGTGATAGCTTTAAATTGCCTTCTCCCCTAAGTGTACAACAGCATGATATTGGCACTATTTTGGACAAACATTGCAAAGAGGAAAACTTGCTCCAAAACTTTTCTGGTAAAAACTTACCCTACCTATTTAATAATGAAAATATACTACCTCCATTTGAGACTAGATGTGAAGTACAAGCTGGTGAGGCTCAGATGAATTGTTTGCATGGAAAGAAAGCAGTGAAGTTTTGTGAAAGAAGTCCAACAAAGAGTTCCAAGCAAACAGACTCTTGTAAGTCTGCCAAGTGCTGTAGCTGTGATATGCAAAATAGATCTCCAGGTATTATTTTTTTTCTTATGTTTCAATATGTAAAGTAAAATACTTTAATATGATATTTATTTTTAAAAACTGTTTGCTTATGTCATGTTACCAACTTACAGATTGTTATGTCTTAGATTGGTATTTCAGTATTCCCGCTATACTAATTACAAGAATTGTCTCAAGAATCTTCATAGATACAATACGAGGTTTTATTCCCTCCAATATTGCTTAAAATTTTCAGTAATATTTAGCAATAAGTTTTTTTTTGTTAATGTAAATTTAGTTTACCATGTATGTAAAACTCTCAAAATTTCTTATTTTAAAACAGTTATAGCAAAGTCAGGGGTCTGTCCAGACATTTTGTGAAAGGTCCGTTTTTCGTGAAATTGTGAAAAAAATACTCACATTCTTTCAACCAGGGTCCGCTTTTATGAATTTGTGCAAATAGGGTCCGTTATTGCAAAAGGTTACGAAACTTGTACTGTGTATGCTACACATTAATCTGTCAGCAAAGTTATAGAATGATTATGCAAATAATTATATATGTATAGTAATTTTAGCTGCCCCTTCTAATCCTATGAAAAAATTTCATGCTAAGGAGTTTTTTTATGATCAGTTTCATTTCTTTAAAATGAAAAAAAAAATATTTTTAATTATACATTTAAAATTTATAAAAACTTAAAAATGTTTTAACTTGTTCCTTAGTAATTATACTTCTAAGTTGTTATTTCAATTCTGCAAGCAAGTTACAAAATAAACCTGAAGCACGAAAATTTCCTGATGTAAGAAGATGTTGCCTATCTGTATAACTCTAGGAAATAGAAATTGTGTTAAAAACAACAATTGTNTCAGTGTTTTCACTACAGCGCGAGAACCTCGCATATTTTTTTCTTTTCTCGCAATAAAAAATTTTTAATGCGAGAAGTTCGCACACTCTATTAATCAATTTCAAAATGTGCGAATTTTGGAAAAAATATTCGTATTCTGCTATTTTGAATAAAATCCGTTTCACTTTTCTTCCTTGATCTTTCATTATTTTGAACATTGGTTCTTGTTATCTAGCTTCCCTATTCACCAGTATTGTTCAGAACCGGTGCGAACAGCAGAACACCACCCCCCAATCCACGGAACCCCTTTCAGAACACATTTCTCTGCAACCACGTGTTCATCGTCGGTAAGGTTTCTTCATGTAAGACGTTAACATATTTTGTGCATGAATGTAAGATGGACAAATACCTTCTTAAGGCGACATCTTCTACTCCGTAACGGACAAATGAAAATGAAACAAATGTCGGTGGAAACGGTCAAAACGAAACAAATACGGATATTTTTCAGCCAAATAAATATAATAGCTGATGAAAAAGTAGATATCGAACATTTTCCATATGATGATGCAGCAAAAATGTTCAATTAGAAGATGTTAAAAATGTATTATAATTAAAGAAATAATTTTTTTCCAAGTCTATTCGTTTTTTTTTAATTTTTAGCAATCTCACTTAACTTTTTGAATTCTCACCCTGTTTTTAAGAAAGGGTGAGAAATTCTCTCTCATTGTTTTTCTGTAATGAAAACACTGACCATGTATGTAAAACTCTCAAAATATGTTATTTTAAAACAGTTATAGCAAAGTAATATTTGTTTATAACAAAATGGACTTAACATTTCGTGTCAATATCTTTCATTCGAAATCTTGCTCATTTAAATAAAATTGTAAATTGACTGATAGTGAGAAATAAAAATTATCCTAGTATTATTTTTGGTGAATTTTTTTTTCTCTTTAGTATTTCACTAACAAAAACGTGAAAATATTTAATAACTTCTTTAATTTATTTGAAATATTGAAGTATTTTTTGCGATTACCATAACCTACTTGAGATTGGAAATAACATTTATAAAAAGAAAATGTATGGTTTGCATTGTATTATGTACATTTTATAAAAAAAATTTGTAACTTGGTCTCTAAAGAGCATTTCTTTTTATTTATATTTCCCTAGTTAAAAAATATTTTTTGATATTTAGATGTTACTTCTTAAATTATTACAGGAGATGCTCATAGCCCTCAATGTTCATGTGATATATGCAATTTGGAATCTGAAAAGTCTACTCAGGAATTTTTAGTGTCTCCTACTCAAAATTCATTATTGTATCCTGAGATATCTGATTCGTATACTCTACAAAATTTCTCAGGTGGTGGAAAATTTTTTCAAGAAGCTCTCAGGAGAAAAACAGGTATAGTTTGAGTTTTTTCTTATTCATTTTATTTCTTTGTATGATATAAGTGTGGCAAATGTTTTACAAATTCTTCTTACAGTTATAAGTTGCTTCCTCGATTATTTAAATTTCTTTAATGATACATTTTTGTTTTTTTCTGATCTTATTTGGTTTGACTTAATTGGTGTTTCTTTTCCGATTTTTATTACGTTTCATTTTAAAATACTTCTATTTTAGTTTTAATAAAAGTAATTTTTTAGTTTTAGTATACTTATTTGCTGTGTTGTAATTTTAAATACAATCGTGAATGTTATATCAAATTAATACAATATTGTTGGGGATAATTTGGCATGTACAAGTTTTATTTCAATGCTGATTCAATTCAGTGTTTTCCATTAATTACTCAAATTTACCGATCGATAACTTGATACGTATATATTATTGTTTATCAGTCAAGTGCGCCTATTTTTTTTATTTTTTTTTCATAATGAAATGTTGTTGGGAATAATTCGGCATGTGCAAATTTTATTTCAGTGCTGATTAGATTCAGTGTTTTTCATTAACCACCCAGATTTACCACTCATTACACATTGATATTTTTATATTATTATTTATCATTTAATTGGGCTTTTTTGTTTTATTTTTTTATTGTTTCTATACTAACAATTAAAATGTTTCGGGCTGCAGTGGATCATTTGAGTTTTAGAAACAGTTTAATGGAAGAAACATCCCTTTTTTATTTTAAATACAAGTTTTTCAACATTCTGACACTTTCTTTTTCTTTACCACGAAGACTTTGTAAAAATTATTCTTGCTTCATTTCAAGCTCTCTAGTCAACTTTTTAAAGAATACTTGAAATTTGTAAAGCCACACATTTTATACATGCGTATTTGACTGAAACTTACTTTATAAATTTAATATTTGTTGTGTAAGCTTGTGATTTTTTTAAGTTGATAAGTTATTTTTTCTTTAACAAACTTCTAAAGCTTTCTTCAGTTCTTTAGTTAAATTAAATTGTTATTTCTAATAATTTCAAAATTAATAAAACTATTGACGCTTAGAAAAAGTTTTTGTTTTGTAATTAATTAAATTTTTTGCTCTGAAATTCTCATTCACATCATTGTAATCTCTTTTCTCCATTAAAAAAAATTGATCTATAAAATGTGCTCGATTTTGTAAATTATCTGAACAAAAAGGTTTTATCTTACAAATAGAGAAGCTTGTATCACAGATTTTAAAAAAAGAAAGGGTTTGTCCCATATTTAGCATTGACTTAAAAAATTTCTGTTCTGAACCTATATAAATTGAGTTATTTACATGCTGCAAATTTGTTTTCGTTCTTGAAAAAAGAAAAGAAACAAGTTACAAGTTGTCAACAATTAAGTTAACATGGAATTATCCATTTGTATTTCTGATATACATGGTATCTTTAAATTTAGCTCTTTTTTTTCATATTTTTTAATGTTATTGATGTTAATGCATATATTTGTTTGATATATTAGCTGTGGGTATAAGGTAATAATTCAAAACAATATCATAATTTTTTTAGTGCTAGTAAATCAAGCCACAATATAAAAATTTGTTTGATTGCTATTAATTTCCTTTTATTGCGGTTTATGTAATTTGGTTATAACTACTTATGTAATCAAATAATGGAATGATCGTTTTAGGTTTGGTCGAAAATCTCAGAAAAGCTACTCAGATTATATTTGAGCACCACAAAACATTCAGCAAGAAAGGAGTAAGTATGGAATGAACTTTTGCNGTTTTATTTTTTTATTGTTTCTATACTAACAATTAAAATGTTTCGGGCTGCAGTGGATCATTTGAGTTTTAGAAACACACTTTCTTTTTCTTTACCACGAAGACTTTGAAAAAATTATTCTTGCTTCATTTCAAGCTCTCTAGTCAACTTTTTAAGGAAGAATACTTGAAATTTGTAAAGCCACACATTTTATACATATTTGACTGAAACTTACTTTATAAATAAATTTAATATTTGTTGTGCAAGCTTGTGATGTGAAATTTTTTTATTTTTTTAAGTTGATAAGTTATTTTTTCTTTAAAAAACTTCTAAATCTTTTTTCAGTTCTTTAGTTAAATTAAATTTTTATTTCTAATAATTTCAAAATTAATAAAACTATTAACGCTTTGAAAAAGTTTTTGTTTTGTAATCAATTAAATTTTTTGCTCTGAAATTCCCAATCACATCATTATAATCTCTTTTCTCCAATAAGAAAAAAATGGATCTATCAAATGTGCTCGATTTTGTAAATTATCTGAACAAAAAGGTTTTATCATACAAATAGAGAAGGTTGTATCACAGATTTAAAAAAAAGAAGGGGTTTGTACTATATTTAGCATTGACTTAAAAAATTTCTGTTCTGAACCTATAAAAATTGAGTTATTTACTTGCTGCAAATTTGTTTTCGTTCTTGAAAAAAGAAAAGAAACAAGTTACAAGTTGTCAACAATTAAGTTAACATGGAATTATCCATTTGTATTTCTGATATACATGGTATCTTTAAATTTAGCTCTTTTTTTCATATTTTTTAATGTTATTGATGTTAATGCATATATTTGTTTGATATATTAGCTGTGGGTATAAGGTAATAATTCAAAACAATATCATAATTTTTTTAGTGCTAGTAAATCAAGCCACAATATAAAAATTTGTTTGATTGCTATTAATTTCCTTTTATTGCGGTTTATGTAATTTGGTTATAACTACTTATGTAATCAAATAATGGAATGATCGTTTTAGGTTTGGTCGAAAATCTCAGAAAAGCTACTCAGATTATATTTGAGCACCACAAAACATTCAGCAAGAAAGGAGTAAGTATGGAATGAACTTTTGCAAACTTATTGATAACAGAATAAATATACATTCTGAATTTGTGTCAATGTCATTGGTTATGTTACATTTTTTGTAACTTTTGTACTATTTTAATATTTTTCTGGACTTTTTTCAACAGGGAGATTGTGCTTCTTCCTTTTCAACTGGTCAAAAGATCCTTACATGGCTTTGTCCTGCTGTTCATACAATACTTTCAGACGGTTTGTTGCCATCAGTACAAGGGTTTTTTGGACCACTTCCTAATTCACCTTGGAAGGTTGCTGGAGCGTCAATCAAGCAAGGTATTATGCTCTTATATTTAATTAATTTATTTTTTAACTCCGGACTTGCAATACAAGCTAAAAGGTGGGATCATGATTTTCTAATATCCCTCACCATTCTGAAAGCTTATGAACAATAAAGATTTCTACACTATATTTAACTTGAATCTTTCAACAACAAAAAATTATTCTATTCATGATTTAGTTGAAAATTTAATTCGGAACAATTTCTGGTTTTTTATCTACTTCTTTATGCAGTTTAAGCAATTTTTAAACAAATTAAATTTATAAAAAAAAAAATTATGTCTTTTTTTTTAATCATGCAAAGATATTAAATACATGCTAAAGCAGTGTGTAGTATACTAGTGTGCGTAGTTGTCCTGATCTTTGTGATAAAAAATATTTTATCCTGATTTTTAGTATTTCCTTTAGTGGTATTCTTTTTTTTTCTTCTTGTGTGTGTGTTTAGTACAAAAATTTTGATAAACATGTAATTTTAAAATAATCATTTGGTTTTCTTTTTTTAATTTCTATCACTAGATAAGAAAAAAAAGAAAATCTTAGTCAAGTCCAAACTAGTATGTTTTTATTCTGAAAGTGAATTCCGGAAAGTGTTTCTAGTGAAAAAGAGTTAGCATAAAAACTGAAACTCCTTCTTTCTAGTTCCCATTTCCTCAGATGAACAAATTAATAAAAAAAAAACTTTTGAAATTATTTATGGAAAATCTGAGTTTTTTAAAATTAGTTTTAAAAAAAGCAATTAAACCCACCCTTTTTACTGAATTGTTTTCTATTTTTGTCATTTTACACCTCTTCACATCATAAGTCAGTAAATCTAACTATGCACTTGTTGAACTCTATAATATGCCTCATATAAAAGTTAAATACTGCTGTGAATATCCTGTTAAAAAATATAAGGTTATAGTCTGTTATAAGTTTTTTTTTTATCTAAAATGGTCTGCGATTATTGATGTTGATTAATATGCTCATTGTGTTTATTTTCCTTTTACGAGCATTTTCTTACGTTATTGTAACACTCTTTCATCTGAGTAGCCAAAGCTTTTTTCCCCAATACTTTTAATTTTTCATAAGTTTTGTTTAAAATAAAAAATCCCTAGATTTCACTAAAAGTTTTTGTTATCTAAAAATATCAAGTAATAAAGTAATGATTTGCAGAATTACACGAATTATAGGATCACATACCTGTACATAAAGTGATAATATACAGGTATGTAATTTATGTGGTTCCGCAAATAGAAAACCTTGGATTCGCGGTCTTTCGCAAAAAACATTTTTTATTTTGATTAGGATTTATTTTAAACTTATTTGTTAGAACGAAACCTCGAATAAACTTGAAAATACAAGGTTCAAAGAAAAATTCTTTATTTAAATGTTGTGGCGAAAGAAAAAGTATTAAATTGATGGCATAAAAAGTAATTACAAGCATTTAAAAGATCAATTTGACATACATTTAAATTAATGTAGCAAATATTAATTTAGATCCATTAGCAAACATTTAAAATTGTGAGTTTAGTTCAAATTTGTAATACATTAAATGATAATTTCAGTGTAGAATTTAAGAATGTAAAACATAAGAACATCAATAATTATTTTGTCTTTCATTTTAGGAGAAACAAGAAAAGATGTAGAAGAATTATTGAATAATGTAAATTCAGAAAAATTGCTTACTGACAGTACATATCGATTCAATGCATTCATTCTTGGTCTACTTAAGTAAGTGATGCCTTTTTATTTATTCATTTTTACTTATGTGTAGAAAATATGAAATAATACATTATCAGTTGCGGTTATTTCCAGCATCCTGTGTTTTTTTCTAATTGGTACTACACTACCAAGTCTCATATCCGGATGTCCGTACCAGAAAGGTCTCTTTTCAAACACTTTTTAACAATCAAACTAAACAAAACTCTTTTTCCTTTAAAAAAAAAAAAAACCTTTTTCTTGTTTTATTTTTTGACATGTTTGTTATTTTTTGACCTGTAAAAAAAGTATGCAGGAATGAGAATTTTACGATTTTTAGCTGAATTCCGATTTTTGTTTGATTTTAATGTGATTTCTTTTATAATATTGAAGAAAAAAAATTGGGGCCAAAGCCTGGTAAGTGGCCCTATAGGTCGCCGAGGAAGGGGACGGAGTAAAGTAAGGCTAGATTTTGAATTAAAAAAAATTTGAAAACTTTTTATGCTTTTTTCTCCTTCTGAAAGTTTTCCACTTGCTTGTTGAAAAATAAAAGTTAAAATTAACTTATTTTCCTAAAATAAAATGTTAAAATACTTATATTGCTCTGGTAACAAAATAACCCTTCAAACTGTGTGGCAATGTAGCATTCTTTGTCTTAAATTTTCTTTCACTAGTGCTGATGAAATTTTTTAAAGCGGCAAATTTTTATTTTATTTTTAAGACATCATGACATATATCGCATTAATTTTTATTTTTAAGTTTTACTGATCAATCTTTTCTGGTAATTTTATTAAATGAACTAGAAATTGATGTCGTTTTCATTACATTAAATCATACAATATATTTTAACTAGTTTTTTACTTTAATCACTGATATAAAATGTCCACATTATCATATATCTTTTGCTATCTAGTCTACGAAATTTAAATGCTCGTTTAATAAAATTCATTTGTGTTTGAGCAAAATATCTGAAACAGGCATTTTAGAAATGTTATAGCGATTAGAATGTATGAAAATCTGATGGTGTAAATTGATTCAATTATGATAGGTGATTGAAATACTCCTACCTTTATTCATTAAATTTTATGCTATTAAAAGGGAACTGTGCGAAGCAATCCATAAAAAATTATGAATAGTGGGTAGATAAAAGAAATAAAGAAATGCACTAATGTTTATGATAAATATTTAGCAGTGAATTCACATAATCAAGTAAGAAACTTTTGAGTGAAACATATGTTTACATCTGAATAGTCCAATATGTATACATTTTAGCTATGTTGAATGTTTTACAATATTTCGTTCATGTTTTGTATTACTGTTAAAATATAAGAAAGCAAAGTTTATAATTGTATACAAGCAATACTTTCATATCATTTGAGAATGCCAGCCATAAATGATAAGCAGATAAAAATTTTAATATTATATTCATATTTAATATTTTGATTGCTCTTCTGAAATTGCTTAGGGTAGGATAATTTTTCCCGCTATCGAATTTAAATAAAATTACATTATGTGAGTAGTTTGCACTGCATTTTTATACATAAAAAAAATTTAATAAATTTGAAGACTTTGACTTATTTTTAAAATTATGAATAAAATTTATTTTACAGTACATATTGATCATTCTTAATGTAGGGGTAAAAAAAAATTGGATGTCATGGAAACAAAATTTTACTACAGCCCTAAAAAATTTAGTGTTTTTTTCTCTCGTCTTGCATAAAAAGATTATAACTGTCAAGAATCATTCTATCAATTTTAAAGTGAACAAAAATTTCACATTTGAAAAACAATTTCACATTTGAGACTAAATTGTCTCTATTTAAGCGGGTCATAAAGTGATTATTCCAAAGCGTGTTTCGGAATTCTCAATTCGTAGTAATATATTAAAAATGAAATCGAAAATTTAAAAACTTTGTGGAAATCCCAAAGGGTTCAGTGTCCCCTCGTGGACAATAAAATCGTCAAGAATGGTACGCATGAAAAAGTAATTCTTCAACTGCATGATTCAAAATTTCCCGTGTATAATAATAATGTAGCTTTAAAAAATATTAAGATCCGTTGCAATAACTGCAAAATTCATTTGTAAATCCACATCAGATTGCGGATGAATCGTTAATGAGTGCGGAATGCGCAATTCGAAGTTTGCCAAATGAAATAATATCGTATTAAACATTGAGATTTTAAAAAGCAAGTGAAAATCCGTTTTAATAACTACCGAAAAAATGGCCTGGATTCACTGTGGAATCGTCGCTAATTGGAGATCGAGGAATTATAACTAACTGAAATGCTTTATTCGGAATTCTCGTTATAATGGCATATTAAAATATTGAGATCTTGAAAACCATGTGGTAATATATAACAAAAGTTACAAAAATTGTGCAACCACACAAACCATGTGGATTTACACATTGTTGATTTGAAGACGTTTGTCGTCTATTTGCTATTTTTTATTGAATGAGGATGTTTTGATGTTTATTTTAAAGACCTATTATTTGGAAAAAATCTTTTTTTCCACTGAATTTTTATCTGGCACGTAAGCCAACTCAACGTTAAGCTCTAATGAAATTGATAATTAGGTAAAAGCTAGTAACTGTGAAACAAGTTAAGATTGTTTATTATGGTTAATTGTATATTTTAAAAAGATTAAATATGTCTAGAAAATTTATCAAATATTATTTTATGTAAAAATTATTTTATTGTTTGATACAGAACTAGTAGCTTGATCGATTTAGCTAGTAGCATCTTGAATGAGAAAACTGGTCAGTACCATCATTGAATTAATTTCTTTATTGGAAAAAATTTATCATGAATAAAAACAAGAATATAAACTTTGAAAATGTAATGTACTTCATTTATTTTCTGAATTAATCATTTTTACTTAATAAGCACTTTTTTAATTTCAGCCTTGGCTGTTTTGAATGGTGGCTGGGACACTTGTGTTCTTGTCAAAGTCTCATTTGTCATCACTATCATCCTACTGCTTTGCTAAGCCTACTCGCTTTGCCGGCTGCTGTACACTTACGCCACGAGTTGAAAGAGCTTGTAAGTCCTCTTTCAAACTTGTCATTTAACTTGGACCTTATTTTCGAAACTAAACTAACATCTGGTGATAACTGGAAGAAATATGACATGGGGAATTTCAGGCCAAATTTAGGAGAGTTTCAAAATGAATCCAAGAACGGGAAAGAACACGATGACAAAAATGTGATGGATCTCAATCTGCAATTTTCACCGTGTAAGCAATTAGTGGGGAATAAGATTAATGATTTCAGTCTTAAGAACAAACACAGCCATGCGTCATCACCTTCTAATAACTTGATGAATATTCGAGGTGAAGCTGAAGAGTGCAATGAGAATCAGGTTTGGCCTGGTATTACCATTAATCCATTTCCAAATGCTAAATTCGCTGAAGAATTCAATGTTACTAGTCACAGCAAAAAAGATAAGAACCAAAGCAATAGAAATGGTGTCCCGTCTAATCTTCTTAGGGATACTTTACTTCCCAGAGAAATTGATCAACTTGGAAGAAGAGATGTACCACATTTCTCTCTTTGCTCTAGCACCGACAGTGGCTGCAGCTCACAAATTGATCATTTGAATCATGTTTCACCTGCTGCAAATGATGAATCTCCTAATGTAGATGTTAAAGAAGGTCAGCAGTTCAAGATGTTACGCCAAAAATGGGAGAAAATTAGTCATGGAATCAACAAGCAAATAGTTAACAAGACACCTTCACCTAAAGCCCCTGCTGCTAGACCTACTATTTCCAGCTCTTCGAAATCAAAGAAAAAAACGGAAATATCACCTCCAAGGTCTGCTCGCACTTCTAATGAGAGTGTGGTCCCTAAAACCCCTACCAAGATGTTCAGTCAAACCCCACCTAGTCGAAGAAGTCAAGGTAAAGCAAATTTGTATAGTGGAGAAGGAAAAGGATATACTCCTGATATTGTTGCATCATCGCAAGTTCCGGTTGAAAATAATGAAAAGAAGAGGTCTCAGATACCCACACTCAAGTTTGCTAAGCCTAAAAGTATGATTCCTGTACAGAAAATAGGACCGAGAGCAAGATCTGCTAACAGAGACATGTAATTTCTATGGGTGAAAAAAGCAAGTATTGTGATGTAAGTTGATATTTTTTATTCTTTTAAGTAAGTGTTACCAGAAAAGTTTGAAATTCTATAAAATAACTAGGCATTGTATATAATGCCTGAAACTTGACAGTAATGTATAAAGCTATTCATATTTTAGATATTTCCTAGGCATTCTGCAGAATGCCAAATGAGAAACCAGCAAAGTATCCAGCAATCTTTTTTCATACTTTGCCTAAATAGCATTTGTCATTTTATAGAGTACTATTTATTTTATACAATGCTTAGGAAAAGTAAGTAATAATTATGATGTCAACCTATTTCCAAAATCAACATAGCCTTTTCATCATTTCAATATTAAGTTAAATTTTCTTCATAGGGTGTGAAAATAGTTAGCTTGACTGGATTTTACTTTATGTAATTGAACAACTGTAGCTCGCTTCTGGGGGCTTAGCTATGAATTGCAAATCCAATATTATAGTCTTCATTATTAAACAACCTTATTCAATGAAAGAAAAATTTTTATAGCAACCATGCAGGTTTTTTGAAGAGTACATTAGTTTTTATTTAATTATATTCTTGTGACATAAAATCCTTTTAAAGATTTCATTATTCTATTTTTTCTAGAGATAATTGAATATAAAATTTCCCATGTTGATTGTATTTTGAAATATCTTAAATTTTTTTTTTATTTTTAGCTTTTTCATTTGCAATATACTTAAGAAATTTTTTTTTTTTTAATGATTGTACTCACGTATCCAAATATTTTCAAGACACTACTGTGATTCTAAAATTAATATTATATTAACTATGTTGTTTTCAATTATAAGGAAATATGAAAAGCAAAGTAGACTAAATAAGTAACTCTAATTTATATATATACTAATTATATCATATTTATGCTTTAACAAATAAGTTTTGCAGTTACAGAAAATCCAATGTAGTTCTCGCAAAATATTTCAAAAATTAAAATAAATCCATGTATTAAGAATTCGATTATAAATATATATAACCGAATTTAATTAGTTCTTTTGATTGTTACTCTCAGGATATAGTATGGCATTGATATGATTTTTACAATTAAAATTGATCACATTTTTCAAATTTCTTTGTAGTGCTTTTTGTCAAAAAGGTAAGGCTATTTAGTGACCCTAACTTAAAATGTAGATAATTTCTTATGTATTGAATTTTTCTTTCTTTGAGTAAGTGATAACTTCAGAATTCGTAATAATGAGTATAACTTTGATATATAATCTTCCAATATAAAGCAGAAACTAGCTTTGATGACATTTTATACACCTCTCTGTTTTGTGAAGTTAACTAGGTTTTAATCATTACAAAAGTTGCTTGGTTGAAATCAGTTAAATAAAATAATAAACTAAATTAATCAGTTGTGGTTAAAAGCAACATTTTTACCTCAGTAAGGAACACCTCTTTGTGATTATGTTTTTTTTTACTATTGTGGATTTTTTTACAATTGTTTTATATTGAATTCATATATACACGTAGAACTAGTTTCTTTACATAAATCTACTTAGGATTGATTTTATCAAATGTAAACGTTATCAGTCGTTTAAACTCATAATCACTGATTGTGTTTGTTATATCTGTCTAAACTTATGCATATACAGGGGAATGAATTTTGGTATTGAAAAAAATTTGTCATGAAATGTCATGATTTTAACTACATTTTTAAAAAAATCCTGGAAAGTCATGGATTTAGGTTGCCGAAAAATTTTATTTTTGAAATGGAACTACCCACTCAAATTTTTTGGTGCTCTGAATATCTGAAATTGTAACAAAATCCTCACTCACAGTCATATTTTATTACAATATTAAATGTTTTTATCGTGTTCAAAAAAAATTATGGTGTTCTTTCAAAAAATGGAAGAAAAAAAACTTTTCTAGAGCAAATTATCTTTTAAACATCTGGGATTTCAGAATTATTATAATTTATTTATTTTATCAATTTAAAATTCTAGCTGAAGCAAGCCAGTCATTGGCGATTTTTTTTAATTCGGAAATGAGAACAGAAAAATTTGGAGTATTTCTTTTCTTTCCTATGAACAAAAAAAGTATCTTTAGAATATAATTCTGCAGAAAAAATAAATAATTATTTGCTTTTGTATTTTTTTCAGCTATTTTATTGCTTCAACTCTTTCTTTACTCTATTTTTTAAATTTAAAATCTATAAACATGAAGATGCAGAGTGTAACAGTTTTGTTTATACCGATCATTTCAATTAATGTCATTATAATGCTTTTTTAAATTTAGTGTTGTGTTTTTGTTGTAGAAAATAGTAACTTCATGAAGTCATGAAAAATTCTTGGAAGTAGTCATGGAAAATCATGAAAAGTCATGACTTTGAGGAGGAGGTGTTGACTTTGTAGCAGATCAACACCTCCTGGAAGAGAGCAGGCCTCAGCACGGGTTACCATAAATATTCTTTAGTAGTCCAAACGCAATGACATATTTCGTATTTTCAACCACTGCACAGCTTAGTACCCCGAACGTAATGACATCCTTCTTATTTTTCATCTACTGCGCAGTTAACTTCGTCACATCGGACTACTAAATTGATCCGTGCTGAGGCCTTCCTACTTCTAGGAGGTGTTGAGCAGATACCCTGTATATATTAATTCTACTTTTAAGAATCTAATAACTTTTGCTTTTCATTGAAATGACACAATTGTTTATTTCTTTCAGGTAAAAGTTGTGTTTTTTGACACCTTACTCAGTGTAGAAGCACTAAACTTATGCCTTCTGGGGAAGAAATCCGTTGGCTACTTTTATCTGTAACCCAGTAAAAAAAAAGCTATTGGATTATTGCCTTATATCTGAACATTCAATGAACAAGTCTTGTTCCAGCTTAATTTATGTGCACTGCAAATTTTGATGTTATAATTTAAAACTTTTATTCAAAAGGAAGGGATACCTAATCTCTTCTTGATATACTTAGTTTGCATTTGTAAATGTTTATACAAATATTTTTTATTTTCTTGTATATTAATTTTTTGTTGATGTATAAGATGTATAGTATTTTTTGTTGCATTTCAAATTTTTAAAAATTCAGTGCTTTTTCGCTTTTATTGTAAATTTGAGAGTTATATCATTCCTCTGTAAAGTTTCCATGTGTGTATGTGTGCGAAGAAGAAGTGTTTCATTTATGCATATTGTGTGTGTATAGTTAAATGTGCCGTTAATCACCAAATTATTGCACTTAGGAAAAAACCTCTTAACTGATCTGTTCAACCTTATCTGGGTGATAATGTTGCAATTAGACAGTGGGTTTTCATCCATGTGGAAACCATCTTACCCTACTATATGAAGTGGACCATAGTAGCTTCTGTATGATCATGCGCATGGGTAGAATTTCACCCCCACAATGTTTTAATGGTAGTCTTTTGCCCCCTAATTCCCACCGCTATAAATAACTGTTGCATCACACTTGTGTAGTTGAAAGCATCTATTTAAAAATTAATATAGCATTTAATTCTAATATGTACTAAAGTGCATATGCTTCATTCAGTGTTCAAACAAAAAAAAAGAAACGAAAATCAATCTTATAAAGCATGATTGTTATAAAAATAAAAATGTTCTATGAATAGTCCATACAGTTTTAAAAGTAATCAATAAGTGGTTGTGCAAAATAAATAGCTTCTGTGAAAATGAACTTTACTTTAAAACAAGATCTTTTTACATTGTATATGACCAATCTTATCAGTAACTCTTGTAAGAAATACTCAATCTTGTGTTTTCTGTATTTAATTTCAGAGCTGTTGTTGTAAGTTTAACTGCAAGAGGCGTGTATAAAAGAAAGAATTTTAATTCTTTTCAATTTTGTAATTGATGGTTTTTAAATTTATGGTCGTCCACAATTTAAAATTGGTTGTAACTTTTATATTGTTGTTTATATTATAAAGTAATTTAAAATCTTTTTGTGAAACAATGACAACAGAACAATTCTAAAAAAATATGTGCAGCAAATTGGTGTAAAATTTAAGAAGGATAGGTATTCAACTTTTTTTTAAAAGACTTTACAGGAAATTTAAATGTAAATATTATTGATTTCCCTTAGAAATTTGTTATAATTGCCCTTTTTTCTCATAATTTTATTAAAAATGAGAACATTAATGCCAATTTTTTTTTTAAATTTTATATATTCTAGAAAATGTAGATTTGAACTACTTCTGATTTTTAAAAAAAAGTTATATTCTTTAACGTACATTAAAAATTATTATTTTATTTTTTTGTCAGAAGCTTGTTTAGGAAGTAAATACCATTCCTATATCTACCACAATATTCATGATTAAATAACATTATTAGAAATAAATAAAATTCCAAATTTTAGAAAACTTGCGTTATTCAATTTAAACACAGCAGACAATATGCTAAAAAATATACAACCAAGACAAGTCACCTGGTTGAGTTTTTTTTTGTTTTGTTACAGTCTTGGAAAATAAGTTTAAATGAATCGATTATAAATAGTGTTTATAGTAGGTCTTATTCTTTTTTTTAAGTCAAATTTATGATGTGCAAATCACATTACTTTTTAGATCTTACATTAGCAATGTAACATAATTTTTAATAAAAACATTTTTTATAATTCAACCAAAACAATTGATTGCATAAAATACTGAATATAGTTTTGAATGAATTTCTTTAAAGGAAACTGCACAATGATTTTAAATATCAACTTATTGAAATAGTGCTCCTAAAATCTAATTATGTGTACTTATTTTAAGCATTTCTTAATTTTATTGATAATTTTCCTTTTTAAAGTTCTAAATTACAAACTTGTAACTTTCAAGAAGAACATTTTTATTAATTTGCAATCAGTACGTAATTTTCTTGAATATATTTCTTGTCTTGCTATTTCTTCTGTATAATTTTTTATGCTTTATTATTTATCTTTAGATCTTAAAACTTTGCTAAAATTAATATTTAATTAAATGATGTTAGTTAGATGGTTAAAAGAATGTTAATTTTTGATTTTTTTAATAGATTGTACAGAAACTAAAACGTTGGCATATATCTGTTATGCCAGACTATTTTTCACTTCTATTGTATTTGTAAATTTCTGAGCAAAATAAGTCTATTTTACAATATATGATTATTAGAGTTAATGATTTGGTGACGATTACTTGGTATTATTAGATTTAACTGATCTGATTTGTAATTTATAAATTTATGTATTAGGAATGTCAACGTTTAGAATTAACTCTTTCTACTTAATGTATTATATATTTCTATACTTAAAAATAAATCATTCTCTTCTGACGACGATGTTATTGTAAAATTTATTCACTATTGAATAATATATTTTAATATTGTGAAAATTAGCCTGTTAAGTTATTATTTTTGTTTTTTATTCTTATTGTTTTAAGATTCTTGATTTATTATTTCTTTTTAAATATACATGTTAAAAAATGTAATATTAATTAAAAACATGTATTTTGCATACATTTATCTTTAATATTGTTACTTGATATGTTTTTGTATTGAATTTGTAAATTTTGTTCTTTTTATTTGTTCTCTATTTTATTGATAAGTTTAAAGAAATCAAATTTGCATTTTGCTATTTTTACTTCCCCTCCTTATGAAATTGTCAACTTATGTTCAATCTTTTTCTTTGCTTATGTTCAAATTTATCAAATTATTTTATAGTTTGTCACTATCGATTTTTCAATCAAGTTTTCTTTTAAAATTTTGATGATGAAATGTGATCAAAAATAACCGTTTTTTATACATGGTATAATATTGCTGCTTAATTTGCAAATAAAATTCATATCCCCAATAAAAGCCTAAATGAAGCACATGAATATCAGTCTCTTTATTTCAATTTTGTTACATGTATCCTGTTTATTCTGAAAAGAAAGTTGAGAAGTTTGGATTTAAATAATAAAAATTTATCACATTAAAAGTTTTTTTTTTTTTTAATGGAAATAGTTGGCTTGAAATTTATAACTTGAATCAGAATATTGTGTTGAATGTATAGAAAAATACATGCAAGCAGAAAGTTAAATATAATTCAAATTACAATTTGAACATGTTTAGCAAAAGTGTTTAAAGCTAAAAGAAGAAAAAAAATATTTATATATTTGGTAGATTTGTACTTCAAATTCTTCAATACTAACCTCGCCTGTGTTCACATTTATTTTATTTTTACCAGTGATTGAGAGAAAATCTTTTTTGTGAAACAAAAAAGGAAAACCTGAGGAAAAAATTTTCTTTCGCGACCGAAAACAATATAAATTTATTATTCATCCAACTTAAATCTTTAGGTTAAAACCACTTGAACTTACATTATTACGATACAGACGCACATCACGAGGATTTAGAATTTCATAGTAATTTATAACTGCCTGCCAAAAAAATTTTTCCTCTTGCTTACATTTTCTGAAAGCCACATACTGACTTGAGAAGTAGAGCACACAATGATTGAGTAATGCAGCCTATAACTTCTTGCCAAGAATTTGTTTCCTCTTATTTACATTTTCTGAAATCCACGTAAAGGACTTCGGAGGTGGGGCACATCATGAGGATTGACAATTGCATTGTAACCTGTGGCCAAAAATGCCATCTGAGAACTACTTCCTATTTAGAACTGGTTGTTCGTGCACATTCGAAACAGTACTTTAAAAGATCTAAATTTGCTTAATTTTATCTGAAATTTATGTTGTTGTTTTTTAAATGATTTCATTACGAAAATTTCATTCAAGTTGGCCCAGAAATAGCTGTCTTATCGTAATTTAATGATTTGGCGACCAACTTAGTGAGCTAGGCAAATTAGCTTCCTCATCATTAAATTACGATATACTTGAGCTTAAATTGGGCCTACTTGAATGCAATTTTCAACAATAATCATTAGAAAACAAAAATTTCAGGCCATCTAAGATTGGTCTCATATTAAAAAGTGGGCGCCGATTTGTTTAAAAACAATCGTGCATGTCTGAAGTATTTTTTTTTTTTTTAAATAACATGTTTATTCGAAAATAATCTAAATTCGCAGTAAGTATACAGTTTTTCGTAAGAGTGGATACTAGATTAATAAAAAACCTTCGTAAACTTCTAATGTCAAACGTTAGTACCTTAGTATTTTTTCTTTACAGATCTGGCTGTCCGTTTCCGTGATAGTGTACTCTGCCAAAGAATATACATACTTTCTATATTCTTTGGTTCTACTTCATTCAATGATCTCGTACAGTGGCGTACGCAGAATTTTTTCAAGGGGGGTGTTCATAATTTTCTGAAACTACTAAAAGAAATTCGAGTCTGTAATAAAGCACTATTATTTCCTTAATTTAGACAGCTAGACAATTTTGACTTTTTATTTAGACAACATTGTTTGGTTAAATTTTGATTTGATTTTTTAAGTTTAAGAACATAATGTAATATCTTCTGAAAAAAGTCCAATGTCATATGGGTGGGAAGTAACACTTTGAGGGCCACTTTCACATTCATCAGATTTTGTTATGCTAGAAACGTTTTCTTCAACGAAAGTATCACATNGTGATAGTGTACTCTGCCAAAGAATATACATACTTTCTATATTCTTTAGTTCTACTTCATTCAATGATCTCGTATAAGTTGCCTAATCAGAAAAAGTCCGCCGTGTCTTGAAAAGCAAAGGTTTCAACGAAGTTGTTCTTCAGAAAGGGAGTGGAACATACGTTCCGGAAAAAAGCATTGAGTTGAAAATGGAATGATTTAAATCAAAAGATAATCTGGCGGAAGCTATGAAATCAGCGTCTTTAATAATTGAACAGACAGGTACTGGTACTATCTTAGAATCCCTTATAGAACAAAAACCATTAATTACCGCATTCGCTGTCCAATGAAGCGAACCGGGTTCGAATCTCAGTCGATATGAATTCCGCATCCAGCTTGCACAGACCACAGTGCTGACGGGAAATAACTTCAGTGGTAGACGGGTCATGGGTTAGAGTCCCCTTGCCGTCAGGCTAACCGTGGCAGGTTCTCGTGGCCTTCCTATCCATGTAACGCAAATGCGGGTTAGTTCCATCGAAAAGTCCTCCACGAAGGCAATTTGTCCTAATACTCGATCCAGGAGTTCCCTTGTCTTCTGGATTGGGTTCAAAATTATAGGGCTACGAGTTGAACATTAGTAGCCATAAACCCATAAAATTGGGTCGGCTGTTCAGCGACGGTTATAAAATAAAATAAAATTACTGCATTCGAGAGCCGCGATGGCTCAGGGGATAGAGCGTTCGTCTTCCAATGAGGTGAACCGGGTTCGACTCCCACCTATGGCTGGTCGATGCGAATCCGCATCCGGCTTGCACCGACCACAGTGCTGACGGGAAATATCCTCAGTGATCCTGGATTAGAGTCCCTTTGCCGTCAGGCTAACGGTGGGAGGTTCTCGTGGTCTTCCTCTCCATGTAACGCAAATGCGGCTTAGTTCCATCAAAAAGTCCTCCACGAAGGCAAATTTCTCCCTGTACTTGATCCAGGAGTTCCATTGTCTTCTGGATTGGAATCAAAATTAGAAGGCCACGGAATTGAACATTAGTAGTCGCAAACCCAAATATTGGGTCGGCTGTTCAACGACGGTTTTAAAATAAAATTACTGCATTCAACGAATAGTTTGTAAATAACCATCAGTGAGCTGGTGGAACAAATGGAAATAGATGACTACTTAATATTGCGTTTCTCTGTTAAGTTGTTCAAAACTCTAGAGAACTTTTAACTCTGAGAAACTAAAAACATACAAAAGAGACCAAAATAGATTTTCTACAATTTTAGAAGAGGTTATAGGATTTATATGAATAACTGAAATGCTAGAAGATAGAATTATTGTTTCAAAGTTGAATCTGATTAGAGTGTCAAGAAGATTGGATTGTTGTTTGAAGATAAGATCTGACTGCAGTCGCGTTAATTTGTTTTGGCCAATTGCTTTTTCATAAGAATATAAACTGGCTTTGTGTAATGCTTTTTAAAAATATAAACTTTTCGATTGTATTGCTATTTTTCGTAAATTCGTAATTTGTTTGCAAACTAGATACGCAAGGTGTTTCGTACTCATCGCCCTTAATACGTGTTTTTATACCATGTAAAAATGAATTAAAATTTTTTACACATTAGTGGGCATAAATCAATATTTAAAGAAAGCAAAATCGTCATCGAAATCTGATGAATCTCTATTAAGAAAGACAGAATTTAAAATATAAAAGCTTGTTTGATTATGTTGCTGTTGTAGTTCATTTACGTCGCACTAGAGCTGCTCAATGGGCTATTGGCCACGGTCTGGGAAACATCCCTGAGGATGATCCAAAGACATGCCGTCACAATTTTGATCCTCTGCAGAGGGGATAGCACCCCCGCTTCGGTAGTCCGACGACCTGCACGCGAAGTCGAGCACTTTACGGTGGAACAGTTTATCGAGGACCAATACCGCGCACCCTCGGTCCCTATGCAGACCAAGTGGTCACTCACCCGCACACTGACCGCAGCCGGTGATGCTTGACTTCGCTTGTTTGATTATAGGGGTAAGTTGAGTTGAAGTAATAGGAAACACCGTCGTATTTCTCCAAGATTTGTTTTGGCCTCAGACTGGTTTTGATCTCTTAATCCCGTCTTCGTTAATAGTGATTCGTCAGATTTGGACAATGTTTTTCCTTGATTAAATAATAACTTGAAACTCCCTCTTTGCCCATAATTTTAACTCCATTTTTGTCATGGAGTTAAGAAAGTAATAATCACAATAACATAAAACAAATGGAAAGGATGCTTCAGCCATTTGAAGGGGAAGAAATTAAAGCAATACTCATTATCCCCTTTAGCTCATCCCTCAACAACAACACGGAATTTTTCAAAGACCTAACCTCTTTATTTGTCCTGTCTTTAGCCGAAGAAGTTACAATTCAAAAGTTCAAAAAGTTTTTTTCGGTTTGTCGTTCGTGAACTGACGTTTCTTACGTTTTCTGGCATAAAATTGCATTGGTGAAAAATTACATTTTAGGAAATATTTTAATTTATTGTTTTCTTTCATAATAATTTTTTTACGTCGTAATAATATGAAGCTTCCTTTTCCAAAAGAGTATCCCCCGTCCTTAATTAATGAAATAGATGATTATTTTGAAAGTTAAAGTGTAAGATCGAAAAATTATTTAATCCTATGTAACCTTATTATATCCGCTCTAATATTATCTTCCATCTTATAACATTTAGTTCTAATATTATCACCACTAGGATTTTTAGTACGGTATTATATTGCATCTATCCATCTGATATTAAATAATATCGTTTTGCTACCTAAGTACTGTTTAAGTGTGCAATATTATACGAAAAAGGACAAAAATGGACGATACCCAGGTAGCAATACGATATTATTTGCCTTTTAGAAGGGTGGAATATAATAATGATACAAAACGCTTGATTCATGAATCCTTTCTTCTAATATTAGAGTTAATAATATATAAGATTAAATAGTATCGATCTAATCTAACTTTCGAACTTTTAAAATAATCAGTTATCTCATTACTTTTTGTAACTTAGTAATCTTGTGACCTCTTATTCAAAACATTTAATTACTAATTTAATGATCATGAATCTAATAAGTCAGTAAATATTACGGATTGTTTTTATTATGATATTCACGCATAGTAGTTAACTTTTGTATTGAAACGTGTTGTTTAACTATAAATAAAAAGTAATGTAGTTAGTTCAGAATATACTCTTAAAGCAATATTTACTAGTTATTCGCATCTGACTGAATTTTTCTGCAACAATTATAAAGATAAAAAATTATTTTCTGTTAACAAGTTTGCCATTTTAAAATAATTATCAATTAATCGGCTACATTTAGCTCAGTAAAAACCATTACATTTTTGAATATTTAAAATTTAATTCATAAGACGAACACTATTGTTACTTAATTAAACTTTCCTGTTTAAAATATTGTAAAATAATAATTAGTAAAATATCTTTATTTTCATTTCTTGAATATGGACTGATCTGTATGTTTTCGATACATCATTATTTATGTTAATTTGTAAATGATATCAAATGATTAAAAAATAAACAACAATATTTTTTATTCAGTCTTGTTTATGTTTAATGAAGAATGCTGGAAAGTAGGTACAATTTTTATTCAGGAAGCGTTACAAAAATGTGAACATTTCATGTTAGCCCTACGAGTCTGTGCAATGTACAAAAATATTTTGATAGTTAAAGTGTCATTGTCATCTTCAAATTTTTTTTTAATGGTATTGAATTTGACATATTTTCGTATCAGTATATGCTCGAAAGTTCACTTCAAATAAAAGGGAATAATAAGGTTTTTGTTAAGGGTTGTAAAGGTTTTTTTTTTTTTCAAGAGAGAATAAAATTTTTACTTGAGAGCGGTTTCTAATTAAACTCTTTTAGCTCTCTATGATGTTTTCCGATTCTTTTGTGTCGCTACCAGGATTTTTTGTCGATACGCGTATTAATACTGAATTGATAGAGGTATTGACACGAATATCTACCCATTGAATTTTATTATGATTGTTTGTTTGTTTGTAGTTCATTTACGTCGCACTAGAGCTGCACAATGGGCTGAATTTTATTATGAAGGATATCACAAATTTTTTTTAAATACATTTTCAAATTAAATAATTAAAGGTTCAAATAAATATCCAATGCTTTAATAGTTTTAAATTTAGTGTTTTCAATATAAAGTTTTAGTTTTCTCACTTATAATTTTAGCTTCATCTTCAAGTACTAGGAAGGAACACTACAATTTTGAGATGGAGTGCAGGAGACTGCATATAAAAATGACATACTTTGATGGAAAACTGGGGGTTGTAAGTTTGATCCTGACAGTAAACAAAATAACCGGTGTGTATACGCAGTAAGGTGCACTTTAAATCTGTTGTAGTTTGGAGAGAGACGCGTACCTGTGTGATTCATCCCTTCTGTGTGTGCTTGCGTGGTATACACATTATTAACTTTTGCTGATGATCTTATAAAATCTTTCAAAAAAGCATTTAAAGGTTTCTCGTTGAATTTACGAAATATAGATTTTTGTGTTTATATGATAGATTAATGAAGAAGCTGGCATAAAACTGACAGATTTTACACTGTATTTATATTTTGTTTTAAAAAAAAAGGTTCCATAAAGAAGGAAAAGTAAAATAAACTTTACATTCTATTTTAGGACCCCTATGATATGGGGGCACGGGGCAACTACCCTGTATGCTCTGGTCATTTTACACATCAAGTTATGTATTATAAATCAACCTCAATTGTATTTTTCGAGAGTTAGATAGGTTGTTTTTTTATGTGAACGTGAGGTGTTCGATAATATACTATTATTATTTTTCAAAATCAAGTACAGATTTATATAGTTGTTGAGATATTTATTTATCTACCTAAGATGTGCCACTTTACACTTCCGGTTATTATAAATCAACCTCAAGTGTATTTTTTGACACTTGGAAAGGTTATTTTTTTATTAACGTGAGGTGTTCCATGTTCTACCTTAGGTTATTATTTCGTAACCTCAAAAGTATATATTTTTAGAACTATTAATTTATCAACCTAAGATGCGACATTTTATACTTCAGGATTATATAGCTCAACCTAAAGCTGTTTTTTTTTTTTTTTTTTTTTTTTTTTTTTTTTTTTTTTTTTTTTTTTTTTTTNTTTTAATTTTTTTTTAATACTTACGAAGGTAATAATTCACAAACGTGAAGTGTTATACGGTCCACCTAGTTTATTAATTTTTAAGCTCACAATTATATAAAGATATTATGTATATTATATAAAGAATAATATATATCGTTACATTTTTTCACTCGTAGAGATCTTTATTTATCAACCTGAAGTCATATATATATATATATATTGCTTTTTATTATCNTCGTGGTCTTCCTCTCCATGTAACGCAAATGCGGCTTAGTTCCATCAAAAAGTCCTCCACGAAGGCAAATTTCTCCCTGTACTTGATCCAGGAGTTCCATTGTCTTCTGGATTGGAATCAAAATTACAAGGCCACGGAATTGAACATTAGTAGTCGTAAACCCAAATATTGGGTCGGCTGTTCAATGACGGTTATAAAATAAAATTACTGCATTCAACGAATAGTTCGTAAATAACCATCAGTGAGCTGGTGGAACAAATGGAAATAGATGACTACTTAATATTGCGTTTCTCTGTTAAGTTGTTCAAAACTCTGGAGAACTTTGACTCTAAGAAACTAAAAACATACAAAAGAGACCAAAGTAGATTTTCTACAATTTTAGAAGAGGTTAATAGGATTTATATGAATAACTGAAATGCTAGAAGATAGAATGCTTGTTTCAAGTTCGAATCTGATTAGAGTGCCAAGAAGATTGGATTGTTGTTTGTAGATAAGATCTGACTGCAGTCATGTTAATTTATTTTGGCCAATTGTTTTTTCATAAGAATATAAACTGGCTTTGTGTAATATTTTTTAAAAATATAAACTTTTCGGTTGTATTGCTATTTTTCGTAAGGTCGTAATTTGTTTGCAAACTAGATACACAAGGTGTTTCGTACTCACCGCCCTTAATATGTATTTTTAAATGCCATGTAAAAATGAATTAAAATTTTTTGCACATTAGTAGGCATAAATCAATATTTAAAAAAAGCAAAATCGTCATCGAAATCCGATTTCTATAATTATAATACATATAGAAGACGTTAAGTCTTCTATTTTTTAAAGCATTGAATATTTTTGATGCATCATCATAGAAGATTTTGCTTTTACAAGGTATTTGTCCATCTTACATTAGTGCATAAAAAATTTGAACGTCTTACGTGAAGAAACCTAGAAACCTTACCTACGGTAAACACGTGGTTGCAGAGAAATGTGTTCTGATAACGGGCAGATGTTGATAACGGGGCAGATGTTGAAAATAATGAAAGATCCAGGAAGAAAAGTGAAGCGAATTTTATTCTAAATAGCGTAATGCAAAAAAAGCTTCTTCCAAAATGCGAGAAATTCGCGAATTTTTAAATTGATTTATAGAATGCGCGAATTTCTCGCGGTGATAATTTTTTAATACAAGAAAAGAAAAAAATATACGAGATTCTTGCGTTCTCGCGCGGTAATGAAAACACTACCTAACCTCTTTATTTGTCCTGTGTCCTGTCTTTAGCCTAAGAAGTTAACAACTCAATAGTGAAAGAAAAAAAATTCGGTTTGTCGTTCGTGAACTGAATTTACTTCCGCTAATATTTTCTTACGTTTTCGGGCATAAAATTGCATTGGTGAAAAATTACATTTTAGGAAATATTTTAATTTATTGTTTTCTTTCATAATAATTTTTTTACGTCCTAATAATATGAAGCTTCCTTTCGGATCATCCTCCGGGATGTTTCCCAGACCGTCGCCAATAGCCCATTGTGCAGCTCTAGTGCGACGTAAATTAACAATAACAACTACAACAGCTTTGAACGATCCACTCTCTCTTCTTCAGAATATTTTTAAATAAAGAAAAACATGATTTATGATTTTTTTTTCTTTTTTTTTTTTAGTTCAGGTAACACATTTTAAAAGGATTGCAGCTTTTATTATAACTGAGAACAACTACACTACAGTCAAAAGGAAAATTCCAAAAAAGAGAATGAGTCTTTAAAGGCTGTTGGATTGTGAAATTGATCAATCTGGGAGCATGCTGACTATAGTAAAAAAAAAAAAAAATTATAATAATAAAAGTAAGAAATCCATCCTTTTTCACAAATTTGTAGGGGAAGATTCTGGTTCTAACGCGCGTAAGAATGTTGGGCCCCAACATTATAAATGTACGCACACACTTTAAATATTGCTGTTGAATTCCGCACCATCTTAAACTTAAAAACATTAATCTGAAGACAAAAAATTGAATATAGATTCTTAAAACACTGATTCAAAGTATCTTTCTTTGGAGCTCCCACTCTCTGCATCTTTGCATTATAAAACCAAGTGGGAGGTTTTCTTAGATCATGGATTGGATTTTGTCAATGGAATCCTTCATTCACTGAGATCTTTGGAATTAAATGACTTAGCAAAACTAGTTAACGTTGGATAGCTTCAAAAATTAAAGCTTTTTCCAATAAATCCTCGTTATTATATATATATATGCGTNTATAATATATATATATATTATGTTCAAATCCTAGATGTATAATAAAAAGCTGTATCGCAAGACATATTTTCATACCATTATTCCAGCGTGACTTTTAATGTATTATTATTATAAAAACCGGTGAATTTAAATTATAATTATGAAATATTCCATTTGAAAAATATTTTTTCCAGACAATTGAAATTAATATAATTTATTTAAATAACCGAAAGAGTTTTCGCCCTTAAAGCTATCTCATAAAATTTATAAATTAAAAGAAAAATAATGATTTCGAAAATTTTGGTACCTTTTGAAATAATTGATAAATAAAAAATATGTATATTTCACCCGAAAAACAAGTAGGAAAAGAGACTGGTCCAATGATTTTGGAACCCCCTTATTTGCACTTCATTAAAAAATTAATTTAAATTATTAATAAACTTATTAATTAAAATTTAAATGAAAGCTAATTATAGGTCGAAAGAACCAATTAATATTTGAATAAATCAAACATAATCTTAATAAATTATTTAGTTTTTTATAAATTCTATGAAAAATTTTATACATTTTAAAGAAAAAAAATCCTAAGTTCTTTTTCTTTTCTTTTTTATTTATTTATTTTTATGGTTTTAATCCATCAAACAATGACAGTTTATCACCGATTCCAGATATAGGCTGAATAGCATAAAATTGCTGTTTTACGGAAGAATTAGTTTCTGTAAAGTGGAGCTGTTGTCAACGTCGGCGAGATAGCTTTGAGCTTGGCTATCAATGATAACAGATATTATCATTGACAACAGGCTGTGGGAATAGTTGATCGGCCACTGCCCTTGACAAACGAAATATTATCATTGATAGTTATCATTGTTAGCCAAGGTCTTAACTATCAGATTGTAATAAGATTGATCTTTAATAACTGTTTATTATGAAGACTTATTTTTTTGGATTTTCAGTCTTATCAGCTTTTTGTAAGTTTATTTACGAATTCTCTACGTGTTGTTAATTATTATATTCACAGGTGCATAGCCGTTCAAGATTAATTATCATGGTTAAATTCCTTCTTTAGAAATAATTATCTTAGTTTGAAAATGCGGCTTCTTGTATCAGAATTATTTTAAGATGCATGTAAAAGACTTGAACATTTCTCTTTAAGTTATCTTACCATAATTTTTAAACATTTTCAGTGTAATGTATGGTTATGAATGAAAAATATCTTCAAATAATTTTTTTTTTAAAAATACATTTAGTTAGTGTGATTTTACCTTCGTTTTCAGAGCTTTTTTGTCCCGCAGTGGACTGATCGTTAAGACACGGTTCCCAGCAGATCACCGAAGTCAAGCATCACTGGCTACGGTCCGTGTGCGGGTGGGTGACCACTTGGATCAGTCTGCGTAGGGACCGAGGGTGTGCGGTATTGGTCCTCGTTAAACTGTGCTACCGTAAAGTGCTCGACTTCGCGCGCAGGTCGTCGGGCTACCGAAGCGGGGGTGCCATCCCCTCCGCAGAGGATCAAAATTGTGATGGCATGTTGTCGGATCATCCTCAGGGATGTTTCCCAGACCGTCGCCAATAGCCCATTGTGCAGCTCTAGTGCGACGTAAATTAACAACAACAACAAAGCTTTTTTTCCCCTAAAAGCCATTTTTAAGTTGTTTTTTTCTACCCTTTCCTTTTTTTTTACACTAATCTCAACAAATCTTTCTAAATAAGATTTGTTGAAAGAATAGCATTTAATGCAAAAGAATCGAATCTACTTCGTCTTTGTCAGCGCTACAACCCCTTGCAAGCCTTGGCTGCCTCAACAGCTGACAAACGCCAACGCCTCCTATCCATGGCAACTCCCTCGAATCAATCAAATCTACACAGAATGAATCTAAATGTTCAAATCGATCCTGACTTAAGCATTTTTAAAAATATTATTGTTCACCAATGCAGATTGGTGAACTACTTCATGTCTGGATTACAATATGAGACATAGGGACCTAAGGGGACTATCAAAATTTTTACCTAAATGTGCATTTAATAGTTCTTACTTAATTTAACAAACAATAGAGTTAAGCTATAAATTTCTAGGAATTCCAACTTTTTAACTGATTGTTAATTTTTTTTTGGCTTAATTAAATTGTTTTGTTTAAGTGCTATTAAAAAATTAAGTGTCTTCGAATCTTTCAATTGCTTTTTTTTAATTTTATACTTTTAGTAATAACGTATGGATATGAAGTGAACTTTCACCTGGATGAAAATAGAGATGGGTGCCAATGTTGGGCCAATACCTGTGGATGCTGTTTACGTATAGTGGCACCAAAAATCGGCTTGAATGATACAGGTAATTTTCTATGTATATTTATATGCTCTGCAAGGCAGAAATAATATAAGTTGAAACTAATTTTAAATGTGCTTTCTTCATTTTTAATTAAATTTCGAGATGCATAACTTAGTGCATTTACTAAATATTTCTTATTTTAACCTAATGTGTGCAATATTTAAATTCCCTGACTTATCTGACCCCTATTTCCTGACTTTCCTGTCCAAGTTCTTGGTTTTGATGATTTAGCCATAAAAAGAAACATATATCATGCATTTAAAAAAGTTATATGTAAGGGACATTGCATATAAAAATTTAAACAAGATTCTTCTCTACGTTGATTTAAATTTTCTGCTTTTACAATAATGTAAATAAGTTTTCAGCTAAATTTTGCATATTAAGCCAAAGAAATTTTTATTATTATCATTATTTTACTATTATATTATTTTAAACATCATAAATATATGTACACACTACTAATCTCAAATTTGAACTGAATAATTCAAAATTAAAGTAATAAATACAATGCTAGTAGTATAAATGCTCATAAGTCAGAGTTAATGTTTAACAATGTTGTTAAAATAAAATTTATATAAATATATATAAAAGAGGTAAACTTAATTTTGAAAAAAATGTGATGTGGTTCCTTCATATGGGGCCCTCTTGACCGTCGGGGTAGTGCCCGGCGTAGTTACGGCCCTGCATAATAGTTGTATTCTTTGTTACATAATTATTTTTATTTTGACAAATATAGGTACACTTATGTGGTAAGAACTATAATTTTATGTATAACATATCCAATCTTTGATTCTTCAAAATATCCTCTTTTAGCCTTAATCACAGCAGAGCATATTTTTGGCATTCTTTCAATTAGTTTTTGCAATGTTCTGGTTCCAGCAACTAAGTAAAGATTCCCAAAGTTTGTTTCAATTGGTACATCATATTTTTCTAATATTTCTATCGAGATCAACCCACAATAGGATTAATATCGGGGTATTTCAGTACTTTTTTCTTTTCTTCTGATGCAATGCAATTTCTACACAATTTCGATGTATGTTTTGGATTATCTTGCTGAAAAACAAATCCTTGACCAACGATTCTCTGTCCACATGGAAAAGCTGCAATTTTCTTTAATAATATTTTTTTATCCATTATTCCCTCCATTCTTGCAAGATCTCCAAACTTTGTCCCCTGCAAAACATCCCCAAACCATGACTGTACCTCCACCATGCTTCACATTTCTTAGTAAACATTGATTTGTCAAACATTCACCAATTAAACGACGAATATACGGACTTCGTTTGCTTCCAAACAACTCAAATTTTGACTCCTCAATAAAGTTCTAAAGACCAGTTAACATGTTTTTTAGACCATAACAGTCGTTTTCGCTTAACTATGTTTTGTTTTTTCAAAAGAGGTTTTATTGCAGCTAAACAACCTTTTAAACCATAGTCACGAAGTCGACGCTGTACAGTAGTTACTGACACAGTTTTCTACCTAGTAGCATTCAATTCTTCACGGATTTCAGGTACTGTTCGAGACCGCTGCTGTTTACTTTGAATGCAAATAAACTTATCCTCACATTTGGACGTTATTCTAAGTTTCCCAGATCATTGGAGGCTCTTATTTTGGCCAGTTTCTTTCTTCCTCTGTAAAGTTACGAGAACAGTGGTCTGGGAAAAATTAGTTTCAGAGGCAATTTAATTACTTGAATAAGTACACACCCAGACAAACAATTTTTATCAAAGAATGCATGATTGAAAACAAAACCCAAAACCGCTAGAGGGCGTCAAAGTTTATGCTCTTATATGAGGCAAAAACACACAAAGAACGATGAAGTTAAGTTATAAAAGCAAATTTAATGGCATGTGATTACAATAAGTGTTCAAAACAGTGACCGGCAGCGGCTATGCTGGTACAACGGCGAAGAAAAGATAGGCGAAGCACCTTTGCGTTTTGTTTTCGACCATGCATTCTTTGATAAAAATTGTTTG